TAGATGAAGAGACCGGACTCAGACTGCCACTATGAGAGTGTGTGTGTGTGTGAGTGTGTGTTGTCAGTATAAGTGCATCCATGTGTGTATAGCTCATCACTGCCATCTCAGATCAACATCATCTTTATCTCCATCTGCTTGAATTTAACAAGGATGAACATGTTGCACACTTAAAATAACCCCATGATTTTTTTTATTTAGCACCTTTTAAGATGAATTACTTAAGAGATTTAACAATAAATAAAATGAATACATTTGAAATAAATAACATTAATTCGTTAAATTATATTAAATAAATAATACATTTGAATAAAAAATAAATAAAAAAAATTCAATTTAAAATAATTTAAAATAAATCAGCTACTATTAGTAATAAATAAACACCCTTCTCACAACGTTTGCAGGTTGGTGCAATGGACCAGAAATCAACTTTACAAATATGAAATTGATTTACAAATATAATGCAATGAGGGAAAAACTGCCATATAGATATTTTTAATATTATCTCATAATTTGGCAGCAGGTATATTAGGCTGCTGTCACTTTAAGACCTGACGCACTGACCCATTATACTGTTACAGATGCTTTTATGAACTATTTACATTCACTTAAAACATAACTGAGAGTGTTAACTTGAATACTCTCCAAGACCGGCATTTTGACATTGAGTATTTGACTGTTTAAGCACAATAAATAGCGAAAAATAACTCAATTTAGTACTGAGAGGTGGCTTTATGTGCGCACACTTTGGGTGTGAGCACAAAATCTGAGGGAATGAGTAAAATTATGCGCAATACGAGCAATTCCACGACGCAATTCAAGCCCTGTAACACCAACAATATTCACCCGGAGCAAATGAAACGAGTGAGTGAAGGGAGGCGGGTTTGTGTGTAACTCGCTGTTGGAGAGATCATGAGAGAGCGAGAAAGCGCAGCTGGTATCGTGAATCTAATCAGTTTTGAGACAATTTTCAGATATGTCAGTATCGATATGTATCGAAAAATCAATATTTTTGACAACACTACATTGAACTTAGTTTATTATTTCAGATGCCTTTTTAAAAGGCAAAGCAATGCAAATCCAACTAAAACGAAAGGCTTTTTATGATCTACTGTTTTTTTAAAAGTATATTAGTTGTATATAATTTAAATATTTAATATAACTGTAAACAAAACGTTCATTTTTTTAATCTTTTAATAATTATTTATTATGTTAATTATTTTAAAATACATATATATATATAATATTTATCTGTGGAGATAAGGGTTCGTTGTCAATCAAAAGGGGAATCAAAAGTCCAATTAAATATGTGTTTTCTTTAGCAGTGGCTTTATATGTTTGTTTCAAACATCAAAGCTTAAATTGGAATATTTTTGTGAATTTGAGCTTTTAAGGTGGCAAAAATAAGACTTGACAAGGAAGTGACAAAACTGAGGGTTAGCTATATGCAAAGAACACTGGTGATAATGAATGGGAAACGGGTGTGTTTACAAGTCCAGAGAGGTGCTTCTGGGTAATGGTGGACTGGTGAGAGTGTGACAGAAGTGGAAAATGTAAAGTTGGTCAAAAACACAAACACACACTTACAACCAAACTGACCACCAACCGCAACTTTCAGACGTAATATTGCGGGATATCAAAAGGCAACGAAGGACACATCTATGCTGCCTTCAAAAAGTCGATCAGATGAAGGCATCTCAGAAGACAGGAAGTAAAGCTGATATTGGATTCAGAAGTGCCTTGATGCCTTCCTACCTTGGAATGCATCCTCTGAACGCAGCATTTTTAAGCTTTCGGAGGCAGCAGCTAAGACTTTAAACAACCCCTTATGAGACGCAACCAACAAATGCATTGACTACCGCTGTCATGGGAAATCCCGTTAACTGTTCAAAGATAGAGAGCCTAAAGGCTCGTACACACCGGGACGAATATCGGCGCGCGTTATTCGTCAGCGTTTTTCAACACGTTTTTTGTGTTCACTTCACACCCAAGCGATTTTCACTGACGTTGAGCCGAGTGAACATGCAAATTCATTCCCTGACATTAGATGGCGCTTAATATAAAACAGAAATAGTCCTATTTTGTAGTCGCTGTCGCGTTTGTCATATAGTTATTTATGTTACGACACCAACGAGACCAGCAGCTCTATACATTCATCTTGCCTTGCATCTTCCTCGTCTTATTTCTTCCCGGCAGTGTAGACCATAGATATCCATAATAAAGGCCATTGGCCAGCAGCGCGGACGAGACATCTAGCCTTTATTATGGATGTCTATGGTGTAGTAGACGCTACCAGAGCCCGTCTAACGGAGAGCCTTGGCACTTCCTATTAGCCCCATTGTGTATCATCTTGGTTGCAGTTCCATTAGAATTCCACTGGAGGTGATCGCGGGCGAGTGCAGAATGAATGGGAGTCTATGGAGCTAAACGGCTAGATGTATCTCTTTCTCCTGCTTGTCGTTGAATCAACATATTTTATTGTTGATTCTGCAAGTTCAATATAGATTATAGGCCAAAAGTCGAATGAACGAGTACTTATGTCCTTTCGATTTCTTACAGGTTAGGCCGTTGTTGGCCGGAACATGCTAGCATTCTGCTATTATGTGACGTCATCACATTTTTGAACGGGTTTTTAGAACAGATAAGTGAACTTAAAAATGCAATTTTCAGCTGAGTGTATTATCTTAGCCCTCCCTTTTGAATGCAACTTTCAAATTACTTGACAAAAAATTACATCCTGAGAAAAGTGGATTTCTGGGGGTGAAACCCCATAGACTCCCATTCATTCTGCACTCGCCTGCGAGCGCCCCCGCATTGAAAGAGACGTGTTACTGCAGCCAGTCCAGTAACCGGAAGTAACCAGACAGTGCCAATTCTCTTCAATTAGACATTCTCTGACGCTACTTGGCGCATCTTCTTCGCCGTTACGTCTGTGTGCTCGGCAAGACCGTTTTGTGTTTGAGCGCCCCCAAGTTGTGTTTTACTGTAACTTCAGAAGCTCCAGACACGTGAGCAAAAGTGCCAATCTCATTGGTCGGATAGTTTTTGACGCGGCGCGTCAAACCAAAAAAACGAACCCGAGGCGTTTTTTAAAAAATGACGCTTTTTTTCGTGTCGGTGTGCACACTCACATTGGCGCCCTTTGTTTAGTCACGAGGCGTTAAACGTCGGCGAATATCGCGCGCGAAATTCGTCCCGGTGTGAACAGGCCTTAAGTCCCTCCCCTTCCGGTCGACCACCATGGGACCTTATATCGGAAAAATACTGTATGGTAGTCAATGGCGAGAGACAACAAATATTTTGATCTCGTTTGAATTGTGCCCTGAATTACACATATGATGTTTGTCAATTTAAAAGATAAATTTGAAAGTCAAGTAAGTCGCAGTTTGATGTAAAACTGTTGAGGTATAAGACTGAAAATACGTAATTACAAACCCAGAAGGCGCACATTTTCTCTCAATGAATGAAGCTAACTTTACTGAAGCTAACGTCTGTCATTTTTTCTATAGTCTTACGTTATAATCGTAACGTTACGCCGTCATGCCTGAGTGTTTTGTACCAGACTGCACACATACAAGCAACTGATCTCGCTCGTTGTTTCGCTTCCCGGGAGATGTAGTTCATTGAGCGATTTTCACATAAAACTAAATGTTACTCTTCTGTTTTATGACAAACTGCGACTTTCTTGACTTTCATAATTATCTTTTAAATTGACAAACATCACATGTGTAATTCAGGGCACAGTTCAGACGGAATAAAAAGATAAGTTGTCTCTCGCAATATTTTTTCCGAAATAAGGTCCCATGAGCCGGAAGCGGAGGGGAGGGACTTAGGCTCTCTATATCACTTCCCTCTGCAGATATTTAAAGTGTTTTTTTTATTTTATTATGAATATAAGATTGACCTGAAGAATATCAGATGCAGGTAATACACTTGCTTAGCCGATATCTACTCATAATACTCTACATCATACAATAAGCTTCAATGAAGCTTTCGTGCCTATGACCGAATCACAACCATATAGAGCCATATCACACTCTTACTCGTGTGATGTTGCATGGGGGATTTCTGAAGAAGCGGACGTGCCTGTTATCTAATTGTAGTTATGCAGGTTTTAATGTCAGGGTCGTGCAATGCCCTTGCTCACTTTAATCCCTCATTGTGAATGAATGGCTCAAGTCCAAATGTCACACACCTACGCTCCTTAAATTCAGGTAATCTGTAAGCCTTCTAAGAATAGGCTTTCCAAAGGAGGCCAGTTCCTACAGAGAATTACCTTACTAACCATCTATATAATCATTCAGACTGCCATTTTATTATTTCAAACAATTTATAGCAGTGTTTACTTACAGTGGATTCGGAGTGTTTGTGACAACATGTGCTTGTCATTGGCAGTTAGGCAATTAGCACATCAAAAATATTTTACACCGGGATAACCTCATGGTTTACAAAGAGGTGCGAAAAGTTGAATGACTAAGTGATTACATTATGTAAGAGGGCAACACCGTCATACTTTATATGAACAGGTTGTCCAGTATATGCATTTTGCAACATATTCCACATACAAACTATTTAAAAACAAACATTCAATAAACTGAGCATGAGCCAGTAATGCTAATTTCCAATATTGTATGTGAAAATCAAACTCATCCTGTTTGGAAGCTCATTATGAAACACTGCAGTTCATCTATGGACGTAAACTAATCCGGGCACATTACGCAGTAAGGATTACATGACAGCATACAGACGACAGATGAAGGGAAAGATAGAACACTGTGTGGTGTCTGAGGATGAGTGAACACAAATAGATTAGCCAATCAAAACTGGGCTAGAGAAGGAACACAGCTTGGCAAAAGTGATAAACACACCCAGAATTCATCAGACCTTATGTCATTAGTGCAGGCCAACGGATTGGATGTTTTACATTGGGAACAACTGATAATAAAGAGCTGTTACACAAATGATAACATATTTAGGACACCAAACTAACACACTGGTTATCCTCTTTTGGCTCCAACTCAACGAGAGGCACCGGGTCGGCTTCGGAAGACCAGGAAGAGTAGTTTGAGGAACAGTAGGAGACTAAAGCGGAGAATTCGGGCCACCATGAGAACTGCCAGGCGGGCCAGCGCCATGGAGGTGCCCTCATTCCTGCGACAGCTAGTGAAGGAAACCGAGAAGATGGTAACCTTCTTCTTCAAGGGTGGGCGACGGGAGTCGGGAGCTGATGATGACTACTTTGAAAATGAAGAGGACATAGGGAGACCCTACCTAGAAAGGCCCATTTTGGCGAAAGATATGGAAGAAGGGGGTTCGAAATGGGGCATTAACTACGCCATGGCCAGTATGCAGGGCTGGCGTGCCCAGATGGAGGACTCCCACACCTGCATGCCAGAGATGACCGAGGCCTTGCCAGACTGGAGCTATTTTGCCGTGTTCGATGGACATGCGGGGAGAATGGTGGCTCAGTACTGCTCCAAACACCTGCTGGATTTTATTCTCGACACAGGTACTCAACGATTTAAGTATTACTGTCTGGAAGATAAGGGATGAAATTTGTACATGCAAAGAGTTAGTGCTGATGTGCTTTTATTTATAGACGAAAATGCAACTGCCACCACAATATAGGAATTTGCCTGATGACTTTCCAGCTGTTGACGTTTATTTGCTTAGCCATATCTACGGTCCTCTAGAGGGTTTACTCTAAAGTAAAGTGCATGTTGTTCATTAATATTCATTACTTATTTGTATATTTAACAAAGACTAAAAGTGTAACCAATATTACTTTTTATTATACGTAAAACATGAAAAATCTGCCAGTGCAGTAAGACCAAATACACAGATACTTTCTCTGAAAACAAGCCTTAATATCTTACGCAGTGTTAAGATGTTGAGCAATCTTAACAGTGATGCTTAGCTAATGGAATAGCCATTTTTGTATTTTCAGCATGATAAATGTTATTATGATAGTAATAAAACCTATTTAAACAAACAAACTAAAATTTGCAGTTTGTTAATACTGGGTGAATATAATTTTTTCTGATCGAGAAATACAAAAATACAAAATATTTGTTTTTTTAAAAAACATTAAAGGATCTAAAGATTTTTTTAATATCGATTAAAAGGTGTTAAAACAGTGCATTTCATCTTAACATGGAAAATTTGGGCCAATTAATAGGCCAATCCAATATATATTGGATCACACAAACTAATGTAAGGTTTTACTAGCAGAGCTCGGAGAGAAAAGTTCAAAGAAAGATTGTGAAATTGTAAAAAATAACTTCTTATTATATTTATATACTGTTTCATTCAGCTTTCTAAGCATTATGTGTTTACATAACAAATAATTTGACTATTTTGAATGATAAAAATAGTCAACTTAGATAGTTTTCAGACAAAGTTTTACACATATTTAGGCCTATGTGTATATATATATATATATATTAGCTATTATATTTTTGGAAAACGGTCCAAAAAATATTTTTTTAAAATATTTTTATTAACTGGAAGTGAAGGAAATGAATTTTTTTCCGATTGTCACAAGCTTTGCTCAAGTAGGGTGAAAGGCACTAGGCAAATAGAAAGACCTTGTTTAGATATTCCTTTGCTTGACCCTGTTCTATGATTGTATAATCAGGCTGTGTGACGGTGGATGAGGATGTAGAACATGTCAAAGATGGCATCAGAAATGCCTTCCTCTGCATCGACCGCCACATGCACGCCCAGATCCGCAATGAGAACTGGGACAACAGCGGATCTACAGCAACCGCTGTCATGATGTCTCCACGAAACATCTACTTCATCAACTGCGGCGATTCCCGGACCTTCCTTTGCCGTAACAGCCAGGTGGTCTTCTACACGGAGGACCACAAACCCTTCAACCCGCGCGAGAAAGAGCGCATCCAGAACGCCGGGGGCTCCGTCACCCTGCAGCGCATCAACGGTTCACTGGCCGTGTCCCGCGCACTTGGAGACTTTGACTTTAAGGAGGTGGAATGGAGGACTCAGACCGAACAGCTGGTGTCGCCTGAACCAGAGGTGTACGAGCTGGAGCGAATGCCAGAAGATGAGTTCCTGGTAGTGGCATGTGATGGTGTCTGGGACGCCATCAGTAATGAGGAGCTGTGTGCGTTTGTGCGCAACCGCCTGCAGGTCTGCGATGATCTGAGGGAGATCTGCTCTCAGGTCATTGACCTCTGCCTCTATAAGGTTGGTATCAGCAGTGACAGGATCCCATTGGGTTGCCTAATGGCCTGATTTCGAGTTCCCTGATGTCCAGGGTGCACAGGTTTTTATTTTTAGCAAGGTACCACCATACTGATGGATGTTCGGAGGAAGTTCGCAATTGGATAGGAAAAACTTTTCTAAATAATAGTATGCTTCATTGTTGACCAAATTAGACTGCATTGAAAATACACTCTTAGGCCGTGTGTCCACCAAAGCGTTTTTCCACGCTATGTTTTCAATTGTTTTCAATGGGAGCGCCGCGTTTTTAGAACGCCATGAGCGCAACGAGGCGCTGGACGATTTTAGAACGCTGAAGCGCTGAGAGCTCGGCGTTTTTACTGGTCGCCGAGAGTTGAAAAATGTTCAACTTTGGATAAAACGCAGCGCTCATCACTGTCACTTTTACCCAGCCGTCCAATCACAGTGGAGGAGGGGCGGGACTAATACCACACCGACCAACTGTCACAACATTCTTTCTGTACAACGACATCAACCAGCAGAGCTAACCAAACAAAATTGATGAAAAATAAATTTTCAGTATGAAACAAATTATCTGCGAAATCAGTTACAAGTAAACAGTGCTGCGGATATTCTGTATCATAGCAACGAAACGTCTCGACGGAAAAAACGCTGTGCTGCCAAAACGCTCTCAAGCGCCCACAGCTAGGCGTTTTCAGCAGAGCGTCTAGCGTTTTCAGCTGCCTAAAAACGCTTTGGTGGTCTCACGGCCTTAAAAACAAAGTTTGTTGATGTTCCATGAAGAACTTTCCATTACACAAAAGGTTCTTTAAAGTGAATATAAAGGTTCTTTAGTGTTTTTAAAGGGATGGTTCGCCCAAAATGAAGTTGTTCCAAGTTGGTATGAATTTCTTTCTTCTGCTGAACACAAAAGATTTTTTGAAAAATATTGGTAACCAAACAGTTGATGAGCCCCATTGACTTCCATAGTATTTTTCAATGGTTTTCAAAGTCAATGTCAACTGTTTGGTTACCCATTTTCTTCAAAATTTCGTAATATCTTCTTTTGTTTTCATCGGAAGAAAGAAATTCATACAGGTTTGGAACAACTTGAGGGTGAGTAAATGATGACTGAATTTTTGGGTGAACTATCCCTTTAAATGTTCTTCACATGAAGAAACAATTGTTCCTTTTAAGAACTGTTCACTGAAAGGTTCTTTGGCAAATCAAAACGTATTTTTGAAACTTTTTTTTTAAAGAGTAATGTTCAGTTTTATCTCGCAAATAAAAACTGTAATTTTTTTAATCAGTGATCATTGATTTCAGATTTACCTGCCCCTAAATGTACCCTAAAAACAACACAGACTGTAGTTGGTCGCTTTAAATGTTTCTCGAGTGGGTGATCCTGGGTGAGAATAATGTACACTGGTTAACTTTAAAGTAAACTGGACTTTATGTCAATAGTCAAAAGTCTGGTCAGATGGAACATAAAACTAAGCACTCAACCAAAATATATCTCACATTATGAGAATCACTGCATCAATATGCTTTTATTTTATGCTAGTCATTAGCCCATGACGTCAATAACTCTGACGAGTAGCCTACGTCAATAAGTCTGATGTCAGGTCAATGTCGAATTGCCAGAAATACTGTCACCTTCTAAAACGTTTAACTCGTTTAGGACAGCTTTGTTATTTAAAATGATTACAGGCACTTGGGTTATGTAATATTATATAATGAGATGCCGCATGTTGAGGCGGGGAAGCTTACACACAGATTCAGCTTGACCTGTTCTATGAAGATACTGTTCTTTAAATAGAATGATTACAAGGAAGACAAGAAGAGAGCGAGAGAGGATTACGAGCGACTCAGACTTCAGGTTAATGGATATTCATGGGTACAAACCAGCCGCTCGATCAGGCCAAGAGGTCCTTTGGTTTAGAACTAACATTAGCTGTTTGTGAACATTTATATGCATTGCATTATGTGCATTTATGTGTATTAGTGTGTTTTATTGATCTACTCTAATAGCATTTTTATATTATATTATATATAAGGGTTTTAAATTCTGAAATGTCTTCGCATCTTGCAGGGAAGTTTAGACAACATGAGCATTATCATCATCTGCTTCGATGGCGCCCCCAAGGTGACACCAGAGGCACTGCAACAGGAGGCAGAGTTAGAGCAGCTCATCGAGCAAAAAGTGGCGGGTAATTTGACCAATTCATTCGATGTAAAAGGTTTTACACTATATAAATAAGAGGCAATTATACATATTAGATTAGATGAAATAGCCATCTTAATAAAAGTCTAACCTTTTTATATAAAAGTGTATTTTCTCTCACATTACCTAGAGATCATTAATGTGATCAGATCTAAAGATGGGGAACCTGACCTGCTATATGTGATGAAATTCCTGGCATCTGAAGGTATTCCCGGCCTCCCACCAGGTGGAGGAATCTCATGCAAGTGAGTATTACTGGACAGTAATATATGATATTAGGCCTACTATACACTTCAAAAATTGAAGTGAGTTTTTGCTTAAAACATGACAAATTGGCCTGGTTTCACAGACAGGGTATAGATTAAGCCAGGATTAGGCCTTAGTTCAATTAGGACATTTAAGGCTTTTATAAACATGCCTTAGAAAAAAACATTACTGGTGTGCATCTTGAGACAAAACATATATATTTTAAGATATGTTAGTGCAAGTTACTTTCAGTTAAAACAGCTCAACCATGCTTTTTAGTCCGGGACTAGGCTTGAGCCTCGTCTGTGAAACCGGGGGATAATCTACCAATGGGGTCAGAAAAACAATCTTGTTTTCCCTTTTAATTAAGTTTATTTTTCTGAGCCCACTGGCAGATATTTGTTCTTGTTTAAGCACAACATTTTCTTTTTCCGAAAACAAGACTTAATTAATTACTCATCCTCATGTTGTTCCAAACCTGTAAGACTTTCATCTTTTGAACACAAATGAAGATCTTTTTAATGAAATCTGAGAGATTTCTGTCCCTCCGTTGACAGCTACGCAACTACCACTTTGACGTTTCAAAAAGTTCATAAAGAGATCGTAAAGAGAACATTTCAGTTGTGGTAACTGGAAGCTCAAGCATATTCACGTGACGTGTGAAAACCAATGAGGTTCATTCTCTTTTTATGCGGCACGTTTGAGCTCCAGCAAGAACCAATGAGGTTTGTTCTCCAGTGTTCAGCAGGTTCGGTTGAATCGGTTTATGTTTGCTTTTTAAAGTGTCAAAATGGTAGTTGTGTAGCTGTCAATGGAGTGACAGAAATCTCTCAGATTTCATCAAAATTAGCCATTTGTGTTTCGAAGATGAATGAAAGTCCTACGGGTTTGAAACGACATGAGGGTGGGTAATTAATGACAGAATTTTCATTTTAAGTCATTTTAACCCTTTGGGTCATACACCCGGCAAGTGTTTTTTTGCTAGTTTCAGCCTGACACAGTTATCATTTTCACGTCCTGCGTCACGTTGTTTAAATAGCAAATGCTTTTGCGCCTATTTGTGCGCCCATGGGCGTGCTGGTCTGAAAACGAGGTGTGTTCAGGCGCATTGTTGGCGCGTTGCTATTTTGAGGCAACGCTATTTTTTATTATTTAAAGAGCGCGTTAGGAATGTGCGCCAATAGGTGGGTCCACAACGCGCGTACACTGTTTATTACACACACAGATAAGTCCAGCAGCACACAAACATGTCAAATATTAAAAATAAAAGGATTACAATGTAAAAGATTATTATTCTGTACATAAAGATATGGTGGAATCATCTTTAACCTCGCGCACGATCAGACCCGTTTCCGCTCTGGAGCAGCGTTCTGCAAATTCCGCCATGGCACGAGCGCAACTGGCTTTTAAAGGGAATGGGAGATGAGACTCTGATTGGTTTATTGCACGTTATGCTCAAAACACACCCATTACTCATTAAAGGGATACTCCACTTTTTTTTGGAAATAGGCTCATTTTACAACTCCCCCAGAGTTAAACTGTTGAGTTTTACCGTTTTTGAATCCATTCAGCCGATCTCCGGTTCTGGCGGTACCACTTTTAGCATAGCTTAGCATACATCATTGAAGTGGACAAGACCATTAGCATTTCTTAAAAAAAAATGACCAAAGAGTTTCGATATTTTTCCTATTTAAAACTTGACTCTTCTGTAGTTACATCGTGCACTAAGACCGACGGAAAATGTAAAGTTGCGATTTTCAAGGCTGATATGGCTAGGAACTATACTCTCATTCCTGCGTAATAATCAAGAAACTTTACTGCCGTACCATGAGAGCAGCAGGCGTAATGATATGACGCAGCGCCTGAAAATAGTTCCGTTGTGTTGACGGAAGGTAGCCTATTTTCAGGCGCTGCGTCAAAAACGGTAAAACTCAACAGTTTAACTCTGGGGGAGTTGTAAAATGAGCCTATTTCCAAAAAAAGTGGAGTATCCCTTTAAGAGAACAGGGACAACCCTTTTAAACAATTTTTCCAGTCGTTAAACTAGCAAAAGTGGATTCAGACACGCCCTACGTGCACTTTCGCCGTGAGCTTTAGACCATGTGCTTAGATCGTTAAAATAGGGCTGTTTAAGTCATTTTGCTTCTTAGGTAAATGTTTGATTAAAGAATGTTTAGATATTTTAATAGAAAACAAGTCAAAAATTCTAAGCAAGAAAATCTTTTTTTGCAATGCAGGAGAGATACATGTATTTGTGTGTGTGTGTGTGTTTCTCAATCTCTGCTTTTTTTTCTATATTGCAGGAGAGATTGCATAATTGCCGCATATCAGAAATATGCAGCAGCCTTTAGACCTCTTGACCCAATGGTACGTGTTTGAAATGTGTAAATATATGTTTTAGCCGTACTAAATAAACTATTAATTCTCCAACATTTGATTTGATATGATTTTAGGTGTCTACATATAAAAGGTTAATGTTCATTTTACGAACATCAATAAAAATGCTGATATTCTCAAATACTCTTTCATCATTTAAGGATATTGGCGGTTCTGATGACTCCACCTAGTGGCCGTTACCCTGAAGATGGAATCAAGCCTTCAATCTCTGTAGATGTAATAATTCATGTGAGGACTATATTTGTGTGCCACCTGCTTTACAGAGGTCAAATTGTTTAGCCAAACTGTTCCTTTTTTTAAATCAATGTTGTATATTGTACACACTGAACCAGAAGAGGTGCATTTATCAAATGCTTTCATAAAAGGGGCTTTCTTACCAGAGGGACGTTTTCATAACTATTGCCGGAAAATTACCCTAGGGCAAAAATTTTGTTATTGAGGGACCCTGGTGGCTAGTTTCTATATTGGAGTCAAAACTACCCAGTGCAAAAGCCCATAAAGGAAAAGCACTTAACATTGACACCATGGAAAGGTTCTAGTGAAAAATATAAAGAATTCACTTTTTTTAAAGGTGAAGTGTAATTTCTATGCCTCTCGCACCACCAAAGATAATGATGATTTTTAAACAAGGTAATTAAACACTTCCCTCATAGCCATTGGTCAAGCAAATAGATTTCCCCACCCTAAAATTACGCCATTGGTTGAACCACTGTTGTCGCGTATAAGACTATTGAACAAGTCAGCATGAAACGGAAGTTGCAACCATCTTTTCTTCCCTATTGTGACGTATATCCAGGCTTAAAACGACTAAAGCGGCTTCTCGTATACGAAAAACAATGTAGGTCGGGCCTTGATGTTGTCCATTGGGAATTGATTGGATCGTTAGATCATTATCGTTTGATATTGCAAGAGCACATGACTTAAGAATAATGTGCACAGATGAATCATTAACAATAAACACTTAAGCATTCCATAATGTGGCTTTAAAATGCCACAATAAAATAATTGTCTATCCACTTGTAGCTGGGATAAGAGAAAGCATTACCATTAAAAAATACACAAATCACCTTTTAATAAATATACTATGTTACTTTTTTAAATCTACATATAAACCATTTTATGTAACATTGTAGTTGTAGGTTGTTTCACGATTAACTTCACAATTGACATTATTTACAAACATATGTAAGATACTTCAATGTATAATTGTATTATAAATATTTTTTCTTGTATTTGTTTATGGATTTTAAGCTCTGTACTTACAGAGAACATAGACTTACATAACCGAACTTGTACACAGCAGTAAAACTAACATCTGTAAAACTTTATAAAGGGTACTTGAACTTTAAATTCAATCGTCTCATTTTATTTTTTATTAAAGTACACCTCTGTCATTTTGAGTATATATTGTTATAAAATAATTATTGTTATGAGAATGTTTCTTCAAAATGTCTGGATTTCTATATGCTATGTCTAGGTTTGAGAAGTCTGGACTTTGAGCACACAATTTATATTAGTCATAATGGGCAGGACCAAACATGCCAGATTAAAGGGTATCTGCTGTACAATTTAATGCATCAAAAAGAATTTGATAACATTTTGCCAGAACTGAAATCGGTGCTCGGTCCGATCCACTTTCAACAACGTTTTTCAAAAATCGCTTACTGCACCTTTAAAACACTTTTGTAGCCAATCAGCAGTAGGGGTGCGTATCCACTCAAGATTTACTAATACATTATGAAAATCAAAAGCTGTATCTGATAATATGATGTTATGTACCTAAAGTAACATGAACTAACAATGAACAGTTGCATTTGAATTAATGTTGACAAAGATCAGTAAATACTGTATTGCTCATTGATAGTTAAAGGTGCAGTAAGCGATTTCTGAGAAACGCTGTTGAAAGTGGATCGGACCGAGCAGCAAGACACACTTGTAGCCAATCAGCAGTAGGGGGCGTGTCCACTCATGATGGGGGAGGAGAGAGAGGGAGATTTGAAGAAAGACTGTAGAAAGAGAGATGGCTGAAAGACATTACAAAAGAAAAAAGCTCAGAGGAAAATCAGTGGAAAAAGAATAGTTATGATCAGGCAAGAGCTTTAGGACACGCGTTAATTTATGAAAATAAAGGACGAAGCAGTAGGCTAAGGCCTGAAAATGGACACAGAGGTTGAGTTGTTTCTTCTCCATATGTGAGTAACATTGGTTTTGCTGTTACACAGAACCAAGAAATGCTGTTGTTGTAATGTTATCTGTACTAACAGGACAGTTTTGCGTGTCATTGTTTGTCTGGAGCTGCTGGCGACTAAAAACCAACTCTTGCTTGTACTCTTGTGTGCTGTACATTTGTGCTTCCTTGTCATCTTTGCTTTATTATTCGCAAAGCATTATTTTGCTTCGCTTCAGCTATGATAAAGAGACGACCACACTTGCATTGCGTGTTTGTGCATTTTGGGGGCGGAGCAATGAAGGGAGGGGTGTGTTTGATTGTGTTGATTTCAAAAAACAGTGTTCAACCATGATTCTCGGAAATAGCATACTGCACCTTTAAGTGAACGTAAACAGCTGGGAAAGAACACTGAAGTGTAAATTAGATCTTGTTTGTGTGTGTGTGTGTGTGTGTGTGTGCGGGGGGTGTGGAGGAGGGGGTGGCCATCATGTACTTTGTGTCCGAAGGGAACTTTGAAAATCCATGCTGCAGAATGTGTCACTGAAGTGTCATGGACCATGACACCTCTATACTAATTACGTAAACCTCATCTTTGGTGTTACTGTCATAGTTTAATGTTCAAAGAGAGTTAAAAACAAGAAGGTCAAGCTCAAGCGCACTGAGGTTTAACCTGTTTTTCAATGCAACAACCTGGGCAATGCTAACGGTGTGTTTACCATAACAATAAACTGAAAACTGAAACAAAAAGAACCACCAGAGTCTGAGAGAACTTGCACTCTGCCCGACGTTCCCAACAGGTAAGTTCAACAGCCAAATATTTTGCCTGTGTGACTAGAGTTCATAGTTTACAGATTGTACAGTGTTCATCTTACAGTGTCATTAACAAGAAATGCTAATAAAGAACCGTGTGAAATATATGTAACTTTTTTAACGCTGGAAAGTTTTTTAAATTTACTGACATGTGGACTAAGATAAATAACATGCATTAATAACTATTACATTTGTGCTAATGTGTCATGAATCTGTTGCAAACTTTAACCATCTCAAAGTTTCTGTCAAAGTAAAAAAATAACATTCCCAGTTTAAAATTTTATTAAAATAATTTGGAAATAGGTATTGAAAATATTTGAATGCTATTAATTTTTTTGTTTTCTATATTCATTTTGATATAAGCTAGCCAAGGTTTAGCCATTTTTGTTGCATTTCTGTCATTTTTAAAATGTCGATATAGTTTTTATTAAGTTTTAGTTTTTCATTTTAGTTTATTTAATATTTGTTTTGTTTTTTTGTTCTTTAACTTAATCTAATCACAAAATGAAAAATGTGTTGGTAACTAGCAGTTATACAAGTAATGACATTTTTTTTCCCCTTTTAGTTTCAGTTAATGATAATAACTTATAGTTATGGAAACCAGTCGATCAATATTATATTCGTACTATTATGAAAATGTATGAATGTAGTCATTATTAATACATATTCCACATACTTACAATACCGGTATTCATATTACATAAATGTGTTTATAATTATATTTGTCAGTGTAAAATTAACGTTTATTTATTTACTCTTGATGTCTGTACCAACCATGCATATCAAAAACAAATTTAGTAATTATTTAACTAATGTGGAACACCTCTTGCAGAAAACAAAACTGCATTGATTTTTGAGAGAAGACCGTTGTTTTGGTTGTGCTTCGGCTCCGAGTGACTGTGCGGATGAATCACATCCTACTGCTCATAAAACATTCACTCCTATGCTTGAGGTATAACCAGATGGAAAGGATCTCAAGCTGACAAGCTGAAGACATGAAGCTTTAGCAGCTACCTATTAATAGACAAGGTAGGCTACTTCATTGAAAATAAAATTGTAGCACAACTACAACAACCCTTTACAATCTGTCAGAGAGCTACATATGACAATGTATCTGTTCGGTAAAATACCTACTTACCTGTTGAGTAATAAAGACGCCATTTCCGCATCGTTTTTACAATATTTCAAATCCATAAGTTCTGTCCATCTCCGAAGCGCCAAGCCACTGAAGCCAGTGCTGATTCGATCTTGTCTTATTACGAGCACTGTCGACTCTCTTTATGCCAGGAGACTTTCCTAAACGGGTGACTTAAGATTTAACTGCTCAATGTCAACCTTTCTCGATCGTTGTGACAACTAACCTCTGACCCTCACTCACACACCATACACGCGTCAAAGTAGCCGGAGCACCTTTTCTCTATTTACGGAAATGACGAGACACGCACGGACGAGTGACGTATGCAATTTCCCGCGAAAACAATCCTGCCCAGTCTAAAATATAAACACTTATAACAGGATTTCCATTGTGAACGGGGGTAAGATAAAACACTTTTTGAAGAAGGACTAATGATGTTGTTAATTTTGAACCAAAAAATAGCTTTATACCTAGTTAAGAAATATTTTATGATGTTGGTTTTGTATGATTTACCCTGTAATTACGTTTTTGTTTGCACTTAGCATTTATTACACCAGGGATATTCAACAAAGAATGAAAAGTATACCAATCCTGGTCTCCTCTATACATCATAACTATTGTACACTGATGGAGACACATGTGTGATAGTTTCAGGGATTCTCATCAGCTACAAAAATCTGAAATATTTTAAATTTGATGAAATTAGATAAGATATGGTGCTGTGGTTGTTTCTGTTGATATGTCTAACACACATCACATGCATAACTTAGTTTTGTTCAAATTGTTTTTCATTTCAAAGGCTCCTAACGTTACCCAGTGAGACCAGATGACACTGAAGGTCGAAGGTGATCCAGGCTATGGCAGCGCATCTGCTAGAGCTCCATTCACAGATCTGGATGGGTCAGAGACTGTACCTCTCCTTATCCCAGAAGATCCGCCCCAGCAGTACATCTGGAAACCCCTGAGCAAAGAGGAACTGGAGAAGTGCGCAGGAGGACCGGAATGGAAGAAGTTTCGTTCTCGTCTGGTACTTTGCTTCTGGATTGTTTGGCTGATAATGCTTGGCACTGCTATCGCAATAATCATTCAGAGCCCACGGACGGTGTCTCCTTCACTATACTGGTGGCAGAAGGATGTGTTTTACCGTCTGCAACCAGCACTCTTCATGGTTGCAGACAGTGACGAGGTCAGCCCTATCGGCAGTAAGTTAATA